AACTGTTATTACTTACAATTGCAGATTAACTTAGGTATTGTCACTGAATTAATAAACACCCAGCTGAGAACATTTACATTAAACAAGTTATTGGTCAAATTTATACCTGCCTACAAGTGATAATTAGACTCTAAAAAACGAAATATCTGTGCATTCTATAATATATTAGGAATTTATGGCAGTCTACACCTGCTAATTGTGCACAGTACAAGTTACCGTTCGCGAATATTTCCAGAACATAAATTGCAAAATCTAAATCTTTCAGTTGTTACTTATATTAATAGTCAATAAGATTAAGATTATATTTATTGAGCTTCCATGAACGTTACAAGAGTGTTGACAAGTTGAATGTTTGTCATGTAGATACCCATTTACCTTTTGGATACACATTCAGAAAAAAATTATGCAGGTATCTTAAATTACAGTTTAATTACACGTATGGCGAGACGTATTTTATAAATTAAAACACACATTTTTGACAATAATTCGTGTTTTATTTATGTGACACTTACACCTACCAATTTTTGGTACATGTAAGGTAGGTACACAAGTCAATAGTACGTATACTGCCGCCGTCATGGTGTGCGCGTCGCACGTAAGTCGTAACCTCGTAACAAAATAAGAATATTCAATGAACGAGATTACTTAATATATTCGTTCCTCTATTTTCTGAAACTTTTCGAACATTAGATATCCAGATCAACTCTTCATTTACATTTCCGAAGAACTTGCGTCGAACGGAAACGGCAACGATGCAATTGCCACTTGCCACACACATAATTGAGTGGTTAGGTGAATGTCTTGTTCGTTAAATTGTCCTGCCGAATTACATTCAAGGTTAGTGTTTAAACCGTTGTAACAGTTTAGTTTATTTATATTCAAATTTCAAAATTACCGCTTGCTACGTTAGGCAGGATATAGGTGAGATGGCGTCACTTGTACGCGTGCTTCTTTCCTCGCGCAGAATCGCGTAATTTTTTCACTTCATTTCCGTTTTAAAGCCAACGAGGTTGTACTTGTAGAGCGTGGCATTGTGAATTCTTCTAAAACCAGTGGGTAATATTTGCCATCATTCACGTAAAATCTCTGGCAATTTTACCTGTTTATTGGCGTTGTCGAGTAGAGTAACTCAGAAGCCGTTTTCTCCGTTGTGAGGCTATATATCTGGTGGAAGTTCATCGCCCTACCTACATGTAAGTGAAATGGCGTTGGCTTTCTTTTACGTTATGTTATCTAAAATTCTTTCAGATTCACAACCTCTTGGATAATTTCCATATTTCATTGATTTAAGTATTTTTCATTACCCTCCTGACGATTTCAGGTATGTTATTAAAAATCTCGTTAAGGGAGTGTTACATCTTCATTACTTTTAGGGGGTCCATGTAGTAGATGAATTCTTGTACCGATCAATCCATGTAGTAGATGAATTCTTGTACCGATCAATCCATGTAGTAGATGAATTCTTGTACCGATCAATCCATGTAGTAGATGAATTCTTGTACCGATCAATCCATGTAGTAGATGAATTCTTGTATGTAAATGAATTTGCATCTTGCGAATATTCCGGAGTACGAACACCTGTTGATTGCCGGCAGCTATCCGGCGTACCACCGAGTAGATAAGCGCTAACACCTAAACGATACCGGGAGCGACCAGCTGATGGTGGAATTTTCGGAAGATACGATCTTTTACACAACCTTTTTTTTATTTGCTTCAATACCGTTAATCTAGTGTAACCTTCCGACGATTTATGATCGGAGCTTTGTATTTTGTTCGCATCAAGTGTTTGAGGTCGTGACTCTCTTCAAGAGCAACGCACCTGTATTTAACGTATGGGTAAACGAGCCGGCTACGAGTAAGCTATTTTTGGCCCTTCCGGCTCATATAATCGTTCCGAGCGTTGTAGCTTGGGGTTTGTTTTTGTGTTACAGAACTGGAACTTCGAAGGAGAGCTCTTTTTCGGAGAAGACAGCGTATGTGTTATTCAAGGTAAGATTTTTAATTTACTTGTACCCAGTGTTGCCTATATGAGTTGTTATTCGGGTTAACTTAATTCAATCTTTGAATCCATTGAAATCTTAACTACATTTTTGCTCGATCATTGTTGTAGGGGGCTGGTAACGTAATTATTAGGGAAGTGTTCAGGAATTTATTTGGGGATTATTTTTGTCATTTAAAGTATTTGTTATTGTCGTATTGAAGATACATTTTATTTGCCGATCCTGCACCGTTTTGCCAGGATTAATAAATCAGAATTGCTCGTAGTGAATTTATTATTTGGCTCTCTTGTGTTTTCCCAATTTCTATACAGGAGAGGTCAGAATTTGTGCAAAATTGGGTGGCGCTCAACTAATCATTTCTAGTGACTACCAAAGATCAAAAACTTATGTTATATGCCCAAACGAACAAACCGCTGTGGAAGATTCTCATCTCGAGCCCTTCTTTTAATTAAGAATCTGAGCTAGCTGGCCGTTTATGCGGCGGGGTTTGAGTTTTACAGCGCCGAACTAACCTCACGTTATAAAGTGACACCCTTCAACGTGTGGCCTGGGCATAATTTGTTTAAATTTAAGTTTTTGGCCTTATTTTTAAATTATCTCTTCTAAATTGAACTTCGTACTTGCAACTTATTTTTTATTTGTGGTTATTACTGATATTTGTGTATTTCTTGGTATTTAACAGGTACCTATATTGTGTTATCTTTTTATATTTGTATTTTGAATTTATTGTGTGATCATGGCTATGGAAATTAACCGATTAAGAGAGACTGAACTCCAATATGAAATTGAGATTAGAGCGGGACAAATGGGGAGTAATATGAACGAAAGTCGTTTAATTCTCAGAAAATTGTTAGAGTTAGAGAAAGCACCTGGTTATGTTGCTCCAGAGTACCCTTTTACCTTTGCTCAGGATTTAGCTGCTCTTACTGAATTGACAGTGATCCTTCAGAATAAGATTGACAATTTTGATGATGCTTTTGGGGGAGGTTCATATTTGTCAATTGTTACCATGCTAGCTCATGCCGACAGACGTTTACATAGGACTCGCACATTATTGCAGCCTTCTGCTGAACAATTAAGTAAACTTGGGGAATTAGTTGGTTTATTTCGACAATTAAGAGCTTCACTCGATAACAAAGCTTTTCATTTTAACGACTCAATTATGCCTTCAGCAACTGCTGTAGTTTCTTCTACACCTACTAGACGTACTGCAGAACTACAACCAAGATTATCCGTACCGAGTACTCCTGTACATAAATGGGGATTAAAATTTTCCGGGGATAGTAGAGGTGAAACTTTGAATTCATTTATCGACCGAGTTGAGCGAATGGCTCGTGCTCGTGGAGTAGATCATCCAACTTTATTTGAGACCGCCTACGATTTATTTGAAGGTACTGCGAACACCTGGTACAACATTAATTCTCATAAAGCTACTTCATGGGAGCACTTAGTGCAATTACTACGAGATGCATTTCTACCACCACACTATGAGGAAGATTTGCTCGACGAAATTAAAGCTCGTTTACAGGGTCAGAATGAAAAAGTAGACATTTATTTTGCAGTAATGCAGGGTTTATTTTCACGACTAAAATTACCACCTCCAGAATATGAACAAGTCCGTTTAATTAAACGCAATTTATCACCATTTTATTTGACTAAATTAGGTCCTAATGTTCCTCAGACATTAGATGAACTTTTAATTGAATGCAGACGTTTTGACGATATCAAACATGATTTAGACAGACACCATGCCTTACGCAACCGAACATCATTACCATTACTCGAACCTGGGTTTAGCTGTCCCACCAGTAGTCGACAAATGTCACCACGTCCACCTATTTATGCAATGGAAACTCCAAATTCTCCTTGCTTTAATTGCCAAAAATTAGGTCATCATCGTGTTGATTGTCCTGAACCAAGGCAATTATTTTGCTGGAAATGTGGCGCACAAGGCGTTACGGTGCGCAGTTGTTCTTTTTGTTCGGGAAACGCTCCGAGAAACGCTCATTAAGTCGTCGTGACGTTTCTTTAGTACAGGCGACAAAAATTTTGAAAATTTCTTCCAAACCTAAACTTGACTTTTTATTACAGCATGTGGGAAATGACTTGAGACCTTATGTCCAAATTAAAATTTTAGACATTCCTTTTTTGGGATTATTAGATTCTGGCGCTTCACGTTCTTTTATCAATTCCGATACTTTAATTCAATTGCAAATACTCAATTTCAATTTTGTACCGAAAGTTATTTCTTGTACGGTAGCAAATAGCTCCGATGCACATTCGATTGGTTACATCACTGTGCCAATTACCTTAAAGGATCGTACTGTGCTGTTAGATTTGTTGGTGATGCCTGATTTGGTTACTAATTTAATCCTGGGAGTAGATTTTTGGGATAGGATGGGTATCATTCCGAATATTAGCGATGACTGTTGGCATTTTACTTCTTGCA